GAGATTTATTCAGAGAGTTCCTTGGGAAGCTGCCCTTAAAAACAAAAGAGTTCAGGAAAGGTGGGTGAGCTTCAAAACAGAGATCTTGAGGGCACAGGAACAGACTGTCCATGTGTGCCAAAAGATGAGAAGGTAAATGCCCAGCTTGGATGGGCAAGGAGGTTTTGAAGGAACTTAAGAATAAAAGGAGGATGTATCGTCTTTGGAAGGAGGGTCAGGTTTCTCAGGAAATATTCAAGAGGGCTGGTAGAGCATGTAGGAAAAAAAATTAGAGAGGCTAAAGCTCAGTTTGAACTTAAAATGGTGACTTCTGTTAAGGATAATAAAAAATGCTTTTACAAATATATTAACGGTAAAAGGAACGGTAAGACTAGCATTTGCTCTTTACTGGATGAGGGAGGGAACTGAGTAACTGCAGATGAGGAGAAGGCAGAGTACTTAATGCCTTCTTTGCCTCAGCCTTTAGTGGGAAGACAGATTGGCCCCAGGACAACTGTCCTCCTGGCTTGGTTGATGGTGCCAGGGAACAGAATGGTCCCCCCATTATCCAAGAGGAGGCAGTCAGAGAACTGCTGAGATGCTTGAATATTCATAAATCTATGGGACCAGATGGGATCCATCCCATGATGATGAGGGAGCTGGCAGATGAGCTTGTGAAGCCACTCTCCATCATTTACCAACAGTCCTGGCTCACTGCTGAGGTTCCAGATGACTGGAAGCTGGCCAGTGTGATACCCATTCACAAAAAGGGTGGGAAGGAGGATCCTGGCAATTATAGACCGGTCAGCCTGACCTCAGTACCTGGCAAGATAATGGAGCAATTTATACTGAGTGTCATCATGCAGCACTTACAGGATGGCCAGGGTATCCGGCTAGTCAGCATGGGTTTAGGAGGGGGAGGTCATGTCTGACCAACCTAGTCTCCTTTTATGACCAGGTGACCCATCTGGTGGATGCAGGAAAGGCAGTGGATGTTGTCTATTTGGACTTCAGCAAGGTCTTTGACACTGTCTCCCACAGCTCCAGCTTCTCCTGGAGAAGCTGGCAGCCCATGGCTTGGACACGAACACTCTTTGCTGGGTTAGGAACTGGCTGGATGGCCGAGCCAGAGAGGGGTGATGAATGGTGCTGCATCCAGCTGGGGACAGTCACCAGTGGTGTCCCTCAGGGGTCTGTGCTGGGGTCAGTTCTGTTCAGTATTTTTATTGATGACATGGATGAGGGGATTGAGTCTTTCATTAGCAAATTTTCAGATGACACTAAGCTGGGAGTGTGTGTCGATCTGTTGGAAGGTAGGATGGCTCTGCAGAGGGACCTGGAACAGTTGGATGGATGGGTGGAATCCAATAAGATGGAATTTAATAACTCCAAGTGCCGAGTCCTGCATTTTGGCCACAATAACCCCTGCAGCATTTTAGGCTGGGGAAGGTGTGGCTGGACAGTGCCCAGGCAGAAATGACCTGGGGGTGCTGGTGACAGCAGCTGAACATGAGCCAGCAGTGTGCCCTGGTGGCCAAGAAGGCCAGTGGCATCCTGGCCTGTTCAGGAATGGTGTGGCCAGCAGGAGCAGGGAGGTCATCCTTCCCCTGTACTCAGCACTGGTGAGGCCCCACCTTGAGTGCTGTGTCCAGTTCTGGCCCCTCAGTTTGGGAAGGACACTGAGATGCTTGAGCGCATCCAGAGGAGGCAACGAGGCTGGTGAGGGGCTTGGAGCACAAACCCTGTGAGGAACAGCTGAGGGAGCTGGGGATGTTTAGCCTGGAGAAAGGAGACTCAGAGGTGACCTCATCACTCTCTACAACTCCCTGAGGGGTCGTTGTGGTCAGGTGGGGATTGGTCTCCTTCACCAGGCAGCAACCGACAGAATGAGAGGGCACAGTCTCAAGCTGTGTCAAGGGAAATATAGGTTGGATATTAGGAAAAGGTTTTTCACACAAAGGGTGATAAAGTACTGGAATTGTCTGCCTGGGGAGGTGGTGGAGTCACCATCCCTGGATGTGTTTAAAAAAAGACTGGATGTGGCACTCAGTGCCATGGTTTAGTTGAGGCGTCAGGGAACAGGTTGGACTCGATGATCTTGAAGGTTTCTTCCAACCTTGTGATTCTGTGATATCACCAAGGCAGAATAAGGAGGAAAAGCAGAGAAACCATTCTCAGAGGAATGTCTCAAATGGATAGGTTCTCCTTGTGCTTCCCCTGAAACAGTCCTTTATCCATTAGTTTTTTCTCTGGACCATACCTTGAAGCAGCATCTACTCCTTTTATAGGTCATTTAATATATTGCATGTTTACAAGGGAGAATTTGGATGTTTTTACTTTATAAAAATAACCTCTTCAGGAAAAAAAAAATACATAATGAAGTTAATGGGGACCTTTTAAACCATTATCTTTAAAAATGTTCCAAACCAGTCCCAAAGTGTTCTACCAGAAAGATATTAATTACCCATGAAATGTTTGTGGTTCCCACCCAGCTTCAGTTAACCATGTTACCATTATTTTTATTTTTTATTATTTTTATGCTGCTCTTGAGTCTCATGATCACATTAGCGTTTGAAAGGTGATCTACTTTTGAAACCTTTTTTTGATTTTGTTTTAGTCCTTTCAGATTTATTAAGTTTTTTAAGTAGACAATAATTCCCTCCTTTCTTCTTCATTCAACTCATAAGAGAATTTATAAGGCCATAAATTTTCTTTTTTTCTCCCCACTTCCTTTGGTACAGTGACTTGCTGTAAAGATCTCTGCCTTTACCCCAAGACACAAAATTTCCTGCAAAGAATTCTTGAAAACTGAATGGTAAATACTTACAGGGAATCTCTTTAACTAATTCACTTAGTAGCTGTCTATGGTCTTAAATGCTTTGTTGGTGGGAAATTTTAGTTTTTTGTATGACTATATCAGAAATAAGAGTCTCACAGGAGTACTAAGACTGAGGATAGATATACATCATATATACCATTTACACACAGTGAACTGTAACAGGCACAAGCAGAAAACTTTAGTCAGAACTGAGCCCAAACAGGAAACTAAAGCAAAACATGTGTTATTTGGGCTCAGTTATGTGTAATTTTGCATGAACTACACCAGTTTATTCAAGCAGAAGAGCATCTACAAATCTACAGATCTGAATAGGTATGACAGGAAGAACTGAATGGTGACAGGAAGAACTACACTGGTGACCACTATTCATAAATATTCTGAATAAGTGAACACACATTTACAACTGAGATACAGGTTTCAGAAGATGCTGGGTACTGGGCATATGATCTTGCATACTATTAAACAGAAACTTTTGACTTAATATTGACTTTTTAATGACAAGTAGCAAGATAGAAAACAAGAGTATTGACAAAAGTGATTTTATTTTCCCCTGATGTCATCTGGTCATGTCACTCACTGCAGTTAAATCCAATCTCTAATTGCAACAAGCATTATGAACAACATTTGTTAATTTTTTATGTGGTGCTATGCCAAGCCTGTATTTGAGTGCATACGACAGCATTTCTACATCTATAATTTTCTCTGTCTAAAGTCATCTTCATATCAAAAAGACTGGGCTTGTTAAACGTGTGTGCATTTTTAATACGTAATATCTTAAAAAACATAAGCACAGACATTTTCTTGTCTGTATGTATACCCTCATCTTCTATTATGTTTTACAATTTCATCCGTGGGAAGGGATAAAGTTTGAAAACATAGGAATCTTACACCTGTTGCTCCATTTACACATGTGGAAGATGACTGCAAAATGCAAGCAAAACACATTATTGTGAATATGAAATGTTTCACAACCACATTGCAGAGCAGAGGCAAGTGTAGGAAATGACAGTAAATGAACCACTGCCTTTTGTTCTGCATCATTCACATATTGGGCTCTATAAGTCATTATGAACTCATAAAGGCTTACATATCTATGAAAGCCCCTGCCAAATCTGCAGCTCTTTTACAAAACCAGACACTTAAAAAGGAACAGAAATACAAATGAGAGTGAGCCCATAATATTTTAGTGCAAAATAAAAGGATTGGATGCAATAATGCATATCCAAGACCAGTAAAGACACAAAACATCTACCAGTTATATGAGATGTAGCTTTATTAGGATTGTATGTCAGGAATATTGTTCTCAAATATAAAACACACAGGCTACCAGATGCTGAAGTGCACATGACTTTCTAATGTGTATCTTTAATGCTGATAAGCTAAAAACTGAGGCAGTGAATATTTAGATTTGCAGTGATTGGTATCAGTCTAGTTAGAAAATCCAGTTCTAGATTTTTTTTTTTCCTCCATTTACTCACATTTTTCTACTTAAATGCTTAGCAAAATCCCCAATTAAAATCCATTTTATTAATCTTTGCTCAGGAGGTAGAAGATAATTTCAATCTCAAAACTCATTCACATACTTTGCACACAAAAGACTAAGAAGAAATTGATTTTTGACACAAAAATGATCTTTGATTTCTCATTCTTCTAACTTAGTTTCTGTGTGAATTATTCAAAATGCTCAAGTGAAACCATCTATTAAACAATATATAGTGACACCATTTATTAAAATTGAAAAAGCAGGTTTAATGCTTCTTAAGGGGTAAGGATCTCAATAGAATCCTTTGCAGTAGGGGTGCAGGAGTATGTACATAAAATATGTTTAGCAGCCATTTCTTATAGAACATGAGTAACACAGATCCTAAAACATTCAAGTCAAAAGGTTAACTTGAATATGTTAGAAAAGTAAGCATTTTCAGAAAGTCTTTTACAACACAAAGTGCTGACTACAAGGTGCAGACTTTAGTGAGTCTTTTGCTGCCTGTTCTCAGGCTCATAGTGTCAGATATGGCAATTCTGCTGAGGAAAAAAAAGCATGTATCTGGAAAATTATACACATATGTACATGAAAAGTTATAAAGTCTTTTAAAAGACCATGGTGTGTTTTTTCCTCTGTTGTGAAGTATGGGAGCTAAATAGTTTCAACTTATTCATATTGTTTTTACAATGAATAACTTACAGTTTTGTTGCTTTTTCCAAGATTTTCTCTTAAATCTCCATTCTGCAATGCCACTACTACAGATCAGGATAAGAAAAATAAAGAAAAAGGTTGAAATTATAAGATCGGTATCTTCTATGGCTCTTAGCAATATTTTCCTTTTCTGGAAAATAAATTTTCCAATCACCATACACGAGGTATATTTATAAAGTCCATATAGACAATATAATGTCCATACAGACAGAGACTGCAGGCACTTTTCCATAAGTAATTATTTCTTATTTCAATTTTCCTTACTCAGTCAATATTTCCATAACAAAGGAAATAAAACCTGAGAAAATATTTCACTAGGGCTTCATTATTTGACCAATTAATAGTAAATAAATGACTGTTGACAGATTTGTGTGAGTGCATTTTTCACCTGATGTCTTCTTTATCATTCCTACTAAATACAATTTTTAATTTAATTTACACACATGAAACAAGGATGCAACCAATACTCTCAGAAATATTTTTCAGTACCCTGTTGCTCCCATTAGGCTGTATCTTGGCATGAATTTTTAAAGGGTTCCTTATAATTTTAAACCCTATTCCTCCCATTCAACTTGAAAGGGATGCCTACGTTGCCAACAGTTAATATTCTCATAAATGTTTCTCATAAACATTCACTTCTTTGCTTTCAACTCAGTGTTTCTGGGATCTTTTAAAATTATTTCTTCCTCATGTCTACTGTGATCTTGCAAGCTGTTAACAGACTAACTGTGGGCAGAAAGAAAGATCATTTTTGCCTGTACAGCATAAATTCTCTTGTGTCTTTCCTGGCACAGTTCCATTCAGCAGCTCCTTTGGCACACACAGTTCCCTGCCTCTTTACATCAGACCCTGACCTCCAGCTCAACTGTCCTTCCCCTCGTGCCACATACATTTTATTTGCTTGGTATTTCTGATATTTCATTTCTTAATACTCAAGAAATAGGCATTAACTGAATGAAGCAATGATTTCCAAGCATGCGTCCTTTAGTGAGTATATTCACACGAACAGTTCCACAAAAATCAATAAAGACTTATGTCCATTTGCACCTAAGGCTGCTCCACTGGCTGCTGAGCTGCTGAAATATCTCAGACAAACAAAACTGAATGAACTCAAAGGATCTTAGACCTCACTTCACTTTGACTCTCAGTTCTGGGCTTCTGTCTGGGTTAGAGTCTTCACCTCATTCTCCATAAGTTAAATCTTTTAAAACAAGCTACTTTCCTGCCTTTCTACTGCCTTATAATTGGCATTAACTTTTCATTTGCAGCAAGAAAAACACTACACAGTTTCTTTAACTGCATTTAACCCTGATCACTTCCCCCAGGCACACAAGATGCCAGTGCTGGTGTCACCCTGAGCCCTTCCCTGTTGCACTGCTTTAGATTTTTCAGAAAAGTACCTGTGATGAAACAGGCAGAATTCCTTGACACAATTTCTTTTGCCTTTAAAGAGCCTTCAGTCTTCCTTGTCAACATCTCCTGTGCTTCAGATATCTAAACCCTCCTCCCATTCTTGCTGTAAGTTGCAGTATTTCTTCAGTGACCTCTCTTCCTTGTTACCCTAGGGATGGTTGCCTGGGCTTTTCCAAACAGGGATATAATCACGTTCAGCTGTTTTTTGGTTTTCTTTGTTTAAGACATATCCTCCCTCAAGTTAAAAAGTACACATGAACACTAAACCAGCTCAGGCCTGACATACCCAGCCGATATAAGCAGAATACAAAGATTTTAAGACTGCAAAAAGGCACTGTCATAGGAGTTTGAAGAGACATGTGCAGACACAGATGCAAAGGGAATAAGTTCCTCTAGGGCTGCACCACGTGTGACTGCTCTGTGCCTCTGCAGTCCTGCAGATATGGGGCCACCTGGACAACACCATCAGGTCCCGATGAGGGAGGGGATGCGACCATGGGGCCCTAAGCTCGTGGCATCTCCAAAGCAAGAGAGAGGTGTGAGGAGCAGGGAAGAAGCATGAAGTCCTACCAGTCCTTTCAGCATATATGGCAGGTGAGGAACATGTCAGGAGCAGTACAGGAATTTACAGCTGACAGGATACAGCACAGACAGAAAGTACTATCCCTGGGCAGGCCCCTTCTCACTACCAACTTCCAACCCAGGTGTGCCACATTTCCCTTTGGAAAAGAGCTGCTGTCTAATGTTTTATTGCTTAGAAAAGATGGACAGTAGGCTAGGACATTCTTGATTTTCTCTATTTTACTGTTCTTCTGCTTTTACTTTGAAATTGGTATGTGCTTCCTTTTGCTGCTACGCTGGATCCAATACAATCTAAATTTTTCCTTTTCTCTTTTGCTCTCACATGAGTCATTCTACTGCTTCCCCCCTGCTCAAAGCAGTCAGAACAGTTTGGTCCCATCTCTTTCCAGTTATATTTTGTATTCCTCCCAAGATGGAGATTCCACAAACTTTCTGGTCAAGTGATTGACCATCCCCACAGTAAAAAAAAAAAAAAAAAAAAGAGTTTCTTGTACTGCAATTTGTGCCCATTGCTTCTTCTTTCACAGGGAGACACTGAGGAGAAGCTTCCCTGTACTTTACATCCTCAACCAACTATTTCTTCTTTGTAAGAACAAAGTGCAGAGGAGTGCCTCCTGGGTTAGAAAATTGTCCTTAGTGAACACCACAGATCTCCTGGACCACTGGATCATTTATGCCTTTCTCTGTTGTCCCTCCAGAAGTTATTGTGGTGGCTGAAGTTCCCTTGTGAGCAACAGAGCCTGTGAACATGAGGCTTCTTCCTGAAGAAATCGTCATCTACTTCTTCCTTATAGGTACTTTCTGGCAACTAGGAGAGGTGATTTCACTGGTCAGGATTTACAGCAGATGTTGTCTGTGTAAGTTAGTATGTCTATGTGCTCCTGAGAATTGCTAGAAGGAGAAAGACACATTGTGGTGCATATGTATGCCCATAATCATGAGGAAATGAAATGTTTGTCCATGGATAAACATCTGATGAAAAAAAAAAAAAAAAAAAGCCCACACCAGAGAGAGAACTACAGGGGGCTGTGTGTTTCAGCCCTATGGCTCTGGAGAAGACAAAATGGGGAGGAGACAAAGGAATGGGAAGACAAGTGGAACTAAGGGCAGATAGACACAGACACCAGAAGATAAATGCTATGCCAAATTTTTTTCCCACTGAGATGGTGTGTCTGTCAGCAGCTAACCTACAAGTGGAGTTTAGAATGAGCTCCTTTTACCATAAAATTGCCAAATATGCTTAATCTATCCCACCCATTTTAGCACCTTCAGTAATAGAGCAGATGTGGTGCATGCCCTGCAGGCCAAGCAAACTGTTCAAATGTCATGTTTTGCTCAAGGATACAATTTGATTGTCAGTGATTTCTTATGCAAACATAAAAACATACAGAACATAATGGCTATTTTGTTGGAAGGCTGCAGTGGGTGCAGCAGTTTCTTCACAACCTGACACACTCGACAAAAACTTTCAGCCACAAAATCTCAATACAAAAATCACAAGGGACTTCTCACCCCAAAAAGCTTTAATGATGGTTTCTGCAACATAAACCATAGAATGGTTTGGGTTGGAAGGGACTTCGAAGACCATCAGGCCTCAAACATTTCCAGAGATGGGGCACCCACAGTTTCTCTGGGTGAACCAGTAAGGATATTTTAGTGGAAGCAAACAGGGTAAACAGGGGCAGTTTGTATACTGAGTGCGCTTCTTAGAGAAAGCCTACAGGTAGAGCAATTCTTACAAGACCTTTCAGGGAAAATGTATTTATAGTGAATTCAGGTATGTTGTGTGGGCTACATCATCCTCTTTGTTTTCATGGTCAAAGAACAAAATGCCTGAGATTACAACTGCATTGTTCCATTTGGTGGACACATGACTAGTTGAACCTTACAATGATTTACTCATGGCTTTATTTTTAGACCTTCATTTCAGGTACTCCTGCAACTATCCTTGTCTCTGGCATGACAGTGCATGGCATGGGGAATCAGACCTCCAAAAATAGTAAGCATTCTACATTTTTGGTGGGAGAACACATTGGAGAGCACTCACACTGTCACACCCAATATAATCCTGCCTCTTGCTGCTCCAGATATCATCTTTGACATCTCTGTCAGCTCCTAAAATGGAACCAAAACTATGAGATCAACTTCTCTGTAAGAGCAACTCATAACTGGCAAAGGACAGTTAAAGCAGCCTTTAAATTATCAATGCACAGAAGAATCCTTATTAACTCCTCCACAAATCTTCTCCTTTTCTTTTTTTCTTATCCCCTTTCCCTGTAAATAGATCTCAGTGATTGCTTCTGGATGACTGCAATCCTCAGATTTTCACTAACTATTTTTTGAGTAACTAGAGAGATCATCTTTGGGCTCGGGTGTCCAGAAATGTCCTTAATAGTGGCATCTCAGTCACTTGGGAAATCAAAGACATTTCTGGCTTCATTCAAATATTTTTCTGGAAAAATATACTGCCTTTCTACCAATTCTGGAAAGGAGTAATACATGATGCATGCCTTGCTATACCATCTGTGCAAACTTACCACAATATATAGCAGTTTTCACATCTGTAGTTCCAATTATCCATTTTAAAACAAATACATTTTCAGTTAAATCCAAAACTTTGGTTTTGTCCAATCAGAATAGTTTCTCTGGTAAGGCAAGGAATGCCTACATGCCTAACTAAAACATGCAAGCAGTCCCACTGCTTTTCATGGAAATCTTTACATGTATGAGAGCTGGTACCTTGGTAACTCAAACTCAAGGGCCAAATTCTCTGCTGGTGTCATCCTGTAGAAACCAAGTCTTTCAATTCAGCTCCACTGATTTATATGCCCAAACTGCATAATGAAATTTAGCCAACTGGAAAGTGGAATATAAAAGCATGTCAGGCTGTACAGAAGAAAGCCTTGAAGCTAGTATTTGTTTGGACAAATAACAAGCCCTGAAGATATTGGCTAGATTTCCTTAACAAGTAGTCTTATTAATGTCAATCCCCTGTATGGAGAACACTGTGTTAATCCCAGGAGTTTAAACAAAACCAAAATTCTTTTTTTCCCCTTCATTTATAAAGGTCCTTTGAATAAAATTAAGCTCACAACGACAAGACAAGCAAGTAGGTGCATGGTTCCCTCACAACCTGCAGCTCCCCACTCTACTTCCCTGTTTTTACAAAGCCTCAGGATCAAGAGTGTGAAAATGCAATTCCTCATTAGTTATCAAAGAAATTACTCATCCTGTGCCCAGGTAATGGCTTCAAGGAACATTATTTAGAAGTCAAAACAGCAACTGTCTTGAAAGACTTAGAGAGCTGAAGTCATCCCATGGCTTGCTTTCTGGTAGTTCCATTCAGCAGAGTATTCTCTTTGTTTCCTTTGGCTACATTTCTTGCTTATTTGTTTCCTGTTGTATAACTTTTGTCCAGCAAAGCTTCAGACTGACTAAAGCTCTGCAATGTCCACAAGAAGGTGGAGGGCTAATGTTTTAACATGTTGTGGGCTGTGCCAGAAGCGCTGTACGGAATGGTATTTCTGCTGGTGGTTCCCTGCAGGTTAGGCACAAGCATACATGGCTTGCCTTGTTCATAAACCCATCCAGCCGTCACACATTCTCCTGTACCACAGGTGACTCCAATGTTTAATGTAACTCTAACGTAAAGAATAGCAGAGCTAGTTAAACAGAGATGAGTACCACTCCAAAACAAAATCTGTTTGTATTTATATTTAAAAACAGGAGGTGTATCCTCTAGCAGATATTCCAGTCTGCCTGGAAAGCGTATATGCGCTATTAAGGGAGGCTTACAAAGGCTTTGACAATTCCTATGGTAACCCAGTAAAAAGGCTGTTTCCATGGGGACTAGCCAAGCCTATAAAAACCTTCTGTCTTCATTAGAGTATCTCTGACACTGAATGCTTTAACAGTTACTGTTCTGGAATAGTTAACAACAATCTCTGCTCTGGGGAGAGAATAAATTCTTTCCTTCCGGTGCAAGTCCAGTTATTTTGTCAGCTTTCAGTAATACTCAACTGAATAGCTGTCATGTATAAGGGCCATACTAAACAGTGGTATACACTTCAAAAGGACTCTGATTTACCACCCCAGCATTACAGTATATGCATATTATGCATTTAGAAATGCAGATAATTTAAGCATAAGGACAGAATAAATCATACTCTTTAAATTTCATGCTTATGAGATTTAATAAACCTGAGTGTCTGAGTAGCTGATTATCTGTCAAGGTAGTGTTCTGGTTCCCATTCAGATCCCCCTTTTCAGTCGCTCACAACTCCTTCTAATATACTCTACCAAAACAAAACAAAATTATTTCTTTTGAATGTAAATCTTTCATGATTGATCTCAGCCAAATTTGCTTTTCTCCTTACTTTTTTCATTTTCTTCTTTTTCCTTTCCTATAAACTCAACAGTTTTTGAGTTATGCAAGTAGAAATAAAGCTTT